CGTAGGTCAATCTCGCCAGAAGACGTCTCTTGGATGGCGGCTCAATACCCCCTCTCTCTCTCTCCTTCATTCCTTCAATCAAGCACAAGTAGTTCTTACTCAACTACCCTCCATCATTCTTCACATTCTACGAATTTCATAATCTCTTACTTTCGATAGTCTGTCTTATCTTGCATTTCCTAGCAGACATACCATTATCAGCGAACCTCTGAGTCCAAACTATTTTATCTCATGTTTACTCTCAACCATGTGTTCAAGAACTTCTGAACGTTCGATCAAACTGTCTTTACAAGCATTTTCGTGCTCTGTTTATCTTTGTTTGATTGGCCAGCAGGTCTCACCAACATAAGGTCGACCACAGGAGCCAACAATATTTTAGCAGACAACATTGCTAGTTAGCTATTTCTCTCCGAGAAAGCATGACCGAAGAAAATGCCAAATTTTTTTGAAAACCGTCGTTATTCCCGAATTGCTTGCTCATTGTCCTATCTTGTTAGAAAGAAGACATGAGAAAGGGTCTTAGAACTGCTATCTCTGACCAAAAAGTCTCTGGTTTAAAATATATTTCTCATTAAAGAGATATTATGATCATTTAGCCGAAAGGATAATTATTCTCGAGGAATAAAGCGTTCAGTCTTTTCACCTCTTCGGTCAGATGTTTTTCATCTGCAAGCCGCATACTCATAATAATCATGGATTTTACAACTCCAACATTAGTTTTGTAACTATAATTAAAAGGTAAATTAAGAACAAAATCAGCATATGCTGGTTTCCTATGAACATCTCTGCCTACTTAACTTCTTCCCCAATAACCACAACGCCAAAAATCTCTTATTTTCATCTAATCATCAGCCTGCATCAACCTAAACGTCCTATTAAAGCCAAACGACTTCAGTACAACGCGAACCTGTCGGCGTCATCCGTTAGGTTTGACCTATCAATCTCTTCAAAATGCACTTGCAAACGAAATGAAAGCCTTCACAAAAATGTTATCTCAGAAAACTCTTCAAAACCCGTATTTTCTTCGTATACACTATGGCTACGCTCTACACTGTCTTTCTGTCGCCCCGACCAAGTTTCGAAAACGAGATCATACCAACTGAATGCAGCTAAAAGATATTGCTACCAAACTTTAATTTACACCATCTTGGTCTTTCTGTCTAAGACTTATTAATGTTTGATTGGTAGACTTAATCACAATGCTCAGAGGCAGCTACAGAAATAAGACGTCTACTCTACAGAATTTCGCTCAAATACTAAAGTAACTCAAACAAATCAGTATCCAGCATATCGTAGTTATTGTGATGAATAGCCTTCCTCTGAGTACCCAAAATGTAATTTAAGTTCGCTATACAATTGGGTCCCTGCCTTGAATGAGACGGAGCTAAAGTCGAGTATTGCGAAAACTGTATCAACCTTGGTTTCCAAGTTATCGACAACGAGTTCCATCCAGATCAAACCAGCAAGATCTTGTGCACTCATCTGTAAGAAAAGGGTACCAATAAAACTCACTTTTTCTATCTCCAAAAGGTGAAATCGTAGTACTTGAATGGACTGGATCATCTAGAAAATAAAGGGAAAAAACAGATGGAGTTAGCAGAAACACTCGAAGAGGTCAAGACTGTATGCATGTTATTACAAGCACCCTGAAGCCAGGAAAGAGTCTGGACCATGACTCTAAGCAATCTGATTTAACTTGCTAGCCACAAACATGTCGTGATCAGGACTTTGGCATCAGGAACCGGCCGGCTCCATAGGGAGAGCTAGAAGGAAAACAGGAAAAACTTCGATTTATTAGTTGCTTACCAAGCTGTCCAGTTCCCTATCATTTGTACGGATGCTCTTCTGTGAGTTGGTCAGCTGAAAGGAGAAATAACGAGAGAAGATTAATAATGAAGAACATAAAAACCGTGTATGCATTAGTCGATTGCTCAATATTTCTGAGAAAAGAGATACAAGTTCCACATTTCGCTGCTTTCGCTTTATGAAAAATGAGAAAACGACAAATTAATTATTCCTTTATATTCTTTCTTTTGTATCACCGTTACTAACGTCAAAATCAGTAGTGTGTCGAGGCGAACGGCAAATGAAAGGTTGCATATCGTTTAAAATGCCCCACAAAATGTTGTGGAATGAGATTTCAGTCTCTAGCACATGCGCTAGCTTGTTTGTCTCTCAATATGCACATCTACGGCGCGTGTCCAGTTGTGGATGCTGACAAGACTATGAGAAGACTGTGAAGTAAGTGGCAAAGTGAAGCTAATTTTGGCTCACCACCAAAGCAGCATCTCAACCAGTCCAAACTGGCATACGCATTTGGGAAAAAAGAAAGACGCTCTTCATATAGTAATTACAGAGAATTATTTGTGCAAATGTCAAAATGTGGTCGTCCAAGCTGATGACCATCCTAGAAAATGTGCCGGTTGTAGCCCAAGCCGAGAGCCAGACGGAGTAGATTTTTAGAGATTCCTAAAACAGAGGCAAGTATGATTTAGACATCCGCGAGTCCTAGGCCATCTTTCATAGGACAAACTGGGCTAGAACGCCACAGTGGCAGGAGCGAGCCCGTGAAGTTGGCTCGACGACTAGCTTACTGTTGGTGGGTGGGTGGAGTGGAGTGACGAGGGCTCGCTTGTGTCGGCCAGACGAACGCTGCGGGAGTCTGAACTGACCAAGATGACAATGACAAGTTGTTGGGTGAATGGAGGGGATTGGAATAGGAGCAAGCAGCGAGAAGAATGTGAAACATGGCCAAAGCCGGTGAGTAGTGAAGTTATGGTGTAGCATGCGATGTGTTGTACTGTATGTTGTGTGTGCTGTGCAGTGTGGTATGTAGTGCAGTGTGGTACAGTGTGTTGTGTGGCTTGTAGATAAGCCAAGTGAAGAGGAAGCGATACCGAGTGGACCGGTAAGACCACAGAACAGAGCGATGTGTTATGTTATGTTCTGTTGTGTTGTATTGTGTTGTGTGTGATGTGTGGTGTGGCTTGGAGATTGGCCAAATGAAGAGGGAAGGATAGAGTGAGTGGGCCGGCCAGACGACAGAACGGAGCTGGATGCCGGAGCCGAGACCGCATAGTGGACCGGTGTCTTCACTCCTTGTGTATCGAAGAGCTTAGTTGCCCAGAGTGCTCCAAGTGACGACGCCTAAGTGAGTTGCCAGGTCGAGCGTCATCTGTTCGTGGCTCGATTTCGTTTGGCAAGCCTGTAAGTAAGAGGGGATAGGCTGGAATGGCTAATGAAGTAATTAGCCAATGCATTGGGTGCTGAAGCAGGAGGGGAGGTGCAAGGGCTGGGCAAGTTGTAGGACATGGCGGCTGTGCGAGTGGAACTTGTAACGACTGTTGTCTGAAAAGGGCTCTGGAGACGACTGTAAAACGAGCCTGACCGGGAGAACTGAGGCAAAGGGGAGAAGGGCATGCATACACCGACTAGTAATATCCGCGAAGAGACAAGTAGAATGGGGCAAGATGGCTTCCGAAATATGAAAGCGGTATATCTCTGTGTGTGTTTGTGTGTGTGTGTGTGTTTGTATGGTTAGTCCAGGGGTCCTATTATCGTGTCTGTCAGGATCGAGGCAATGGTTGCACAACTTTGGGTCGATAGCCCAAGCACAGCATGGTAGAAGGGAAAATCTTCACCAATTCTGGCGCCACAATGTTGATAGAAAATAAAAACCAGAAGCTTAAAGCCCTCAAATGAAGTCCCCGTCTGGGATACATTTGAGATCAAGAGGTTAGTTGCTAGGCTACAAATCTCCGATGCTGAGCATGCTATCCCATAGACTTGATACAGAGACGGCTGTGCAGCAGATAACCTACTGGCGTCACCGTGATTGTCTCGACGTCTGACGCGAAATCGGCAAACTAGTACTAAACGACGATTTGAAGCGAGCTTCGACCCCAGATTCCGTTCATGATGCCTATCGCAGATAGTAAATTGAGGTCAAGTCGGATTCTTGGAAAGAAAGCCGCTTCCCGCATGGATGCATTTAGTGTTTGATTCGGCAAAGTGAATTTGACACAATGATTTACACATGAGAGCGATTCTGTCTGTTTTTTTTCAACAAAGCTTTTGACTGTGTGCATGCAAACCATCCTATACGAGTCACATGTTTGTACGTGTGGGCATGTGCTTTTTGCACGTTTATGCGTGCATATGAATGTATCCGAAAGTGCGCGTCCGTAAAACATGCGCTTCTTGTTCTTGGAGAAAAAGGCCTATGAGCAAGCGAGTGACTTGAGGAATTGTGGAGATGCTAGAAACCAACGGCGTCTGAGCGAACATGGAGATGTTATAAGCATAGCGCTGGAGGACTCTACCTCTTGCAGTTGGCAACATAATGCCATCAGGACAACCAGCAAATGAGCAAAAAACCCCACACGTGTGTCACTTAAGGCCCAGTAACTTGGAGAAGAGGTGAAGTATAAAAAATGTACTCTCAGCCTGAAATCATAACTACAAAACACACAAAAGCACACACACACATTCATAGATATATATAATAGGTGTGCACATACGCAACCATGTTTATGCAAAGAGGTGTGAGTATGTGTGCCTGTGCACATGTCGACTGGGTAATTAGACGTGCCTGCGGGTAGAAACGACCACCGTAAAGAAGAGGACGAAAAAGGCATCGGCAAAAGCATAAATGAACTTCGACAGGACGATTCGAGGG